ACATAAAATGTGGGAAAAGGGGAGCAAAAGAGTACAGCTTCTAGCAGGAGGTCAAACTAAAGAGTCCATTGACTTGATATAGATTGCCATGTGTAGGTTATTATATATGAACCTCATGGTAATCACAAACCAGAAACCTATAATAAATACACAAAAAATTAAGAGAAAAGAACCCAAAGATAACACTAAAGAAAACCATCAATCCACAGGGAAGAGTGAAAGAGAAGAAGAAAGGAACAGAGAAAAATTGCTAAAACATCCCTCCAAAAATGACATGATGGCAATAAGTACACAATTATCAAGGGCTTCTTTAAATGTCAATGGACTAAACGCTCCAATCAAAAGGGATAGGGTGGACTGGATAAAAAAAAAAAAGACCATATATATGCTGCATACAAGAGACACTCACAAACTGAAAGTGAGGGGATGGAAATAGTTACTCCATGTAAATTTCAATGGAAAGAAAGCTGGGGTAGCAATACTCACATCAGACAAAACAGACTTTAAACAAACACTGTAACAAGAGACAAAGAAGGGCTCTACAGAATGATAAAGGCAACAATGCAACAAGAGGATATAACATTTGTAAATGTAAATATCTATGCACCCAACATAAGAGCACCTAAATACATAAAGTGATTATTAGCAAACATAAAAGGAGAAATAGACAGCAATAATAATAATGGTATGGTATTTAGCACCCCACTTACACCAATGGATAGGTCATTCAAACAGAAGATCCATAAGAAAATATTGGCCTTAAATGACACAGTAGACCTGGTGGACTTAGCAGATATATACAGAATGTTCAATCCAAAAACCGCAGAACACACATTCTTTTCAAATGCTAATGGAACATTCTCCAGGATAGATCACATATTAGACCACAAAACAAGTCTCAATAAATTTAAGAAGATTTGAAATAATACCAAGCATCTTTTTGACCACAGCAGTATGCAACCAGAAATCAACTAGAGGAAGAAAATCAGAAAAGCCACAAATATGTGGAGATTAAACAAAATGCTACTGAACAACGATTGGGTCAATGAAGAAATCAAAGGAGAAATTAAAAAATACCTGGAGGCAAATAAAAATGAAAATGTGATGTACCAAAATTTATGGGATACAGCAAAAGCCATTCTAAGAGGGAAGTTTATAGCAATACAGGCCTACCTCAACAAACAAGAAAAATCCCAAATAAACAATCTAACAGTGCACCTAAAGGAACTGGAAAAAGAAGGACAAACCAAGCCCAAAATCAGTAGAAGGAAGGAAATAATAAAAATCAGAGCAGAAATAAATGAAATAGAGACTTAAAATACAATAGCAAACATCAATGAAACCAATACTTGGTCCTTTGAAAAGATAAGCAAAATTGACAAATCTTTAGCCAGACTCACAAAGAAAAAAAGAGAGACAGCTCAAATAGATAAAATCAGAAATGAAAGAGGAGAAATTACAGCGGACACCTCAGAAATACAAAAGATTATAGGAGAATATTATGAAGAGCTATACGCCAACAAATTGGAAAATCTAGAGAAATGGATAAATTCTTAGAATCATACAACCTTCCAAAACTGAATCAAGAAGAAATAGAGAATTGGAATACACCAATCATCAGTAAGGAGATCAAAACAGTAATCAAAACCCTCCCCAAAAATAAAAGTCCAGGACCAGACGGCTTCCCCGGTGAATTCTACCAAACATTCAAAGAAGAATTAATATCTATCCTCCTCAAACTCTTCCAAAAAATTGAAGAGGAGGGGAGCTTCCAAACTCATTCTATGAAGCCAATGTTACCCTGATACTGAAACCAGACAAGGACAACACACAAAAGAAGAAAATTACAGGCCAGTATCACTGATAAATATCAATGCAAAAATGCTCAACAAAATACTAGCAAATTGAATACAACAATACATTAAAGAGCTCGTACACAATGAACAAGTGGGATTTATTCCATGGATGCAAAGATAGTTCAACATCTGCAAATCAATTGATACGATACACCACATTAACAAAATGAAGAATAAAAAATCACATGATCATCTCAATAGCTGCAGAGAAAGCATTTGACAAGATACAGCATCCATTTATGATAAAAACTCTGAATAAAATGAGTATAGAAGGAAAGTGTCTCAACATAACAAAGGCCACATATGAAAAACCCACAGCTAATATCATTCTCAATGGAGAAAAACTGAAAGCTATCCCTCTAAGAACAGGAACCAGACAAAGATGCCCACTTTCACCACTCTTATCTAACATATTATTGGAAGTGCTAGCCAGAGCAATCAGGCAAGAAAAAGTAATAAAAGGGATCCAAATTGGAAAGGAACAAGTGAAACTGTCACTATTTGCAGATGACATGATTTTATATACAGAAAACTCTAAAGAATCCATGAAAAACTTTTAGAAGTAATAAATTAATATGGTAAAGTTGCAGGATAAAAAATCAACATACAAAAGTCAGTTGTGATTCTATACACTGACAATGAAGTAGTGGAAAGAGAAATTAAGAAGACAATCCCATTTTCAATTGCAACACAAAGAATATAATACCTAGGAATAAACTTAACCAAAGAGGTGAAAGATCTGTACACTGAAAACTATAAAACATTGTTGAAAGAAATAGAAGAAGCCACAAAGAAATGGAAAGATACTCTGTGCTCATGGATTAGAACAATTCACATAGTTAAAATGTTCATATTTCCTAAAGCAATCTACAGACTCAATGCAATCTCTATCAAAGTTCCAACAACATTTTTCACAGAAACAGAACAAAGAATCCTAAAATTTATATGGAACAACAAAAGACCCCAAATAGCCAAACGAATCTTGAGAAAAAAGAACAGAGCTGGAGGTATCACAGTCCCTGATTTCAAAATATACTCCAAAGCTGTTGTAACCAAAATATCATGGTAGTGGCACAAAAACAGACACACAGATCGATGGAACAGAACCAAAAGCCCAGAAATAAACTTACACATCTATGGACAGCTAATTTTCAACAAAGGAGCCAAGAACATACAATGGAGAAAGGAAAGTCTCTGCAATAATTGATGTTGGGAAAACTGGACAGCCACAGGCAAAAGAATGAAAGTATACCATTATCTTTCACCATATACAAAAATTAATGAAAAATGGATTAAAGACTTGAAGGTAAGACTTGAAACCATAAAAATTATAGAAGAAAACATAGGCTATACACTTTGATATCAGACTTAGCAGCATATTTTCAAGGAGCACTTCCAACTGGGCAAGAGAAACAATAGAAAAAATAAGCAAATGGGACTACATCAAACTAAAAAGCTTCTGCACAGCAATGGAAATCATCAACAAACTAAAAGACAACCTAACAATTGTGAGAAGATATTTACGAACCATATATCAGATAAGGGGTTAATATTCAAAATATACAAAGAAACATACATCTCAACAACAAAAAAACTAACAACCCAATTAAAAAATGGGCAAAAGATCTGAACAGACATTTCTCCAAAGAAGATATACGGATGGCCAACAGGCACATGAAAAGACGTTCAACATCACTATCAGGGAAATGTTAATCAAAACAACAATGAGAGATCACCTCACTCCCGTCAGAATGGCTATAATTAACAAGACAGGAAACAATGAGTGTTGGAGAGGATGTGGGGAGAAGGGAACACTCGTACACTGCTGGTGGGAGCGCAGACTGGTGCAGACACTATGGAAAGCAGTATGGAGAATCCTCCAAAAATTAAGAATAGATCTACCATGTGATCCAGCTGTCCCACTGCTGGGTATTTATCCAAAGAACTTGAAGACACAAAGGCATAAATATACATGCACCCCTATGTTCATTGCAGCATTATTCACAATAGCCAAGACTTGGAAGCAACCTAGGTGCCCATCAAGAGACGAATGGATAAAGAAGATGTGGTATACATACACATGAAATACTACTCAGCCATAAAAAATGAGGAAATCCGGTCCTTTGTGACAACACGGATGGACCTTGGGGGTATTATGCTGAGTGAAATAATTCAGAGGGAGAAAGTCAAATACTGTATGACCTCACTCATAAGTAGGAGATAAAAACCAGAAGGAACAATCACATCGAGACAGAGATTGGACTGGTGGTTAGCGGGGGCGTGGAGGCGGGTGGACGGGGTGATGAGGCACACGTGTGATGATGGATTCTAATTAGTCTCTGGGTGGAGAACAGGATGCAATCTACACAGAAATCAAAATATAATGATGTACACCTGACAGTTATGTAATATAAAAATGTAACCACAATTAAGAAAATGTTCTAAAATTAGATTGTGGCGAAGGCTGCACAACTCCATGGTTAGTTTAAAAGTCACTGATCTGGACACTTGAAAGCGGTAAATTTTAGGGATGTGAAATACATTTCAATGAAAATGTAAAAACATTAAACCTAGTATGAAAAGCTGACAATAAAAGACAGCAAGCTCTGGAGGGTGGCTGTCTGGATTGGAATCCCAGCTCTGCTACGTGCCAGCTGTGCACCTTTGGGCATTCACCTAAACTATGTGTGCCTCAGTTTACTCAACTGTAAAATGGGGCAAATGAAAGTACACATCTACTTCATTGTATTGGTGTGAGGATTAATTAAGATATCACATAGAAAAATGGTTAGAAAAGTGCCTGGCCCAAAAGAAGCACCTTGTAAATCTTAACTATGATACAATCTACTATTTTGATTATTTAAATCAGCTCTACTTTTCCAAATTAAAAATTGGAATATGCTATAGGATTTGGATAAAGAAGCAGGCTAGATTTTGTTAATTTTGATTTCATCTTTGCAATTTGAAGGACAGAGATTGAAAGACATTCTCCTTAATTGTTATCTTCCACCAGAAAAATTCCCTGGGGATTATTACCTAGTTTCTCTCCATATTATGCTCTCGGGTAATCAAAATACTATGCTGGTTCTATGATGGCCATGGTCATGCTGGAGAAGATAAGGACAAACGGGAAAGTGCATTTACCGGGTGGTTGTTCCATAAAGGTCTGGCCTGGATGCTGCAGAAATGGCCACGATCACGGCCGGGACCCCGTAGCCCACAGGGGACATGAGCTTCTTCATGAACCTGCTCACACTGGAGTAGTTGACCACCATCAGGTTGCGCACAGTGAGGAAGAGGTGCAGGCCCTCCAGCAGCATCCAGGTGAAGGAAGCCAGGTAGAGATAGTGTAAGGCACCCACGATGATGGCGCACAGCACCTAGGGGAGGAGTGAGGCCTCACCAGGAGGGAGTGTTGGGGTGGAGTGTGGTCCCAGGACCTGTCCTTTATGCTGGCATTGAGTTCAGAGCACATGGTGTTAGGTCAAGGTCATCGAAAGTAGAGGTGGCTGATAATCAATGCCGGCACTGCCTGCCTTGGCACCACACCTCAGGCCTCCTGAGGGACCCAAGGCTGTATTATTAAGGCATCCAGGGCAGCGTGGCTGCACGGACTCAGCACCCCCTGGGGCAGGCGAGAGGGTCCACTGCGACAGGGTCAGTACCTGGATCTCCGTTCAGTCGATGGCCGTGAGGAAGAGGAGGTGGGCCAGGAAGAGGCAGAGCGAGAGCTGCAGGTGGAGCGAGGTGCTGATGTTCTGGATGGCTCTGCAAAGCAGGAAGGTGAGGGCCGCCAGGAGGACGCACAGCAGAGAGAGGCTCAGCCCCATGTGGGTGATCACAGCCAGCATGGGATCCTCCTCCTGGGACCCAGCAAAGAGGAAACCACAGTCACCCCTTCCTGCTCTGGGGTAATGGCCCTTCCGCCATTTTTATTTTTATATTTAGGCATAGAAAAATTAGGAATGGAGGAGCCAGGTAAACTTGTGATGTTTGACTAAGTACCTACAGGTTCAGAACGTTAGGACACCATGGGATTGTGAACTGATTGATTCAGAGCCTGGACGAAGCCCTGCCTCTCACAAGGGCTTATTTTCCTTTATGAGTTGCCTGAATACTTCTCTGGTCTGGTGACCTAGAGGAACTCACCAGCTCATCCAGTCAGGGGAGGAGGCCAACACGGCCCCTGACCCACCTGTTCTCACTGGCTCCAGTGGTGCCCTCTGCCAAATTGTCCTTTCTGCAGACACTGAGCACTCCTGCACCAGAGACCCCTGAGGTGAGCAGAGGTCTAATTTGGCGACCATATCCCTGCCCCCAGGTAGAAACACCCCTTCTTCCAGGTTTCCAGCAAAAGCCAATCCAGTGCTGCTGTGAAGGCATATGGCAGATAGAGGTCCCACATCAGGTCCTACATCAACTGACTTGAAGAGAAGGAGTTTCTCCTGGGTGGGCCTGGTCTAACCAGGTGAAACCCTGAAAGATCTGGGCTTTTCCTGGAGAAAAACACTCAAAGTTCAAGCGAGTTTTCATGTGAGGGAGCTTCAGCTGCTGGCCTCCAGATAGGACCACTGACACCTTGTGAGAGAGCCCAGGAGACAACCACACGAGATGGGATGCAGGCAGCCCCCAGGTGCTGAGCATGGTCCCCCGCTGCCAGGTAGCAAGAAAGTGGGACCTCAGTCCTACAACTGCAAGGAATTGAATTCCCCCAACAACACACAGTGCAGAGGAGGACCCCAGGCCTCAGAGAAGAGGCTCGTAAGACCTGTAAGATGCTGACAGACAGCCCAGCTGCACCATGCAGGACTGCTGACCTGCAGAGACTGGGGGTGACACATATGTGGGTCTTTAAGCTGCTGCATCTGTGGGAGTTGGTTACACTGTGATAGACTTTGAATGCAACCCCTCTCAGGGCCCTCACCTGCACGTTGTAGTGGGCCATGAGGACGGCAAAGCTGCTGAGGTGGGTACACTGGCAGGTGGTGCTGGTGTCTCTAGTGCCCACAGTCTGCAGCCTGTGGTGGCCCAATGACCACATCCACCCTGAGCACGGTTCCAGAAGACACAGAGCACCTTCTGCCTTGGCCCTGGGGTCACTGACTGTAGGATCAGGGAGTGAGTGTGAGCTGCTGGTTGTGATGCTCGGAAATGCTGACCCAAAGCTGCCTTGCAACGGGCTTTCCTGGGGATATGATGCACCCAAAGGGGAGCCTCCCTCAACCCTAAGGCTGCGCCCAGGACTCAGGCCTCTTCCCCACCCACAGCCCCCTCCCACCTGGACTCACATGGTTAAAGATGAAGGTGACTGGGGAGCTGAGGTTCTGAGTGTCATTGTTGCTCGAAAAGGCGGTGATGACATCTGAGAGCAGGACATGGGTGACTTCCTGCAGCAAGTCCTTGTGTGTCTCCCATACAACTTCCTGCCTCTCATGGTCCTGGACCAGGGGCGCCTCAGCCAGCAGCTTTCCCATCCCTGGGGTGGAGACAAGGCCCACCACAGAAGGGCCTGCAGGACGAGGGCAAGGTTGACATCTTGGTGTCCCCAACAGGACCCCTCCTTCTTCAGAGGGACTTTCTCCTTCTGGCCTCTCCATACCCGACACTTCCCTTTAACATTTAATCCTCTATTTGTCCCATCCCTGGACACTTGTCCCACTGTGAAGCCTCAGTGGCCTTCTCCCCATCTCAGCCTTTACCTGAGTCAGCAGATCCCTGCACCGTCTCCCAGTTCAGCAGCATCTTTGCCCGATTCTGACTCAAGGAGATACTCCTGTTCCCTGCTCCAGCACCTCCAGGGTCAGCTCTGAGAGTCGTGCAAGGCACACAGGGACTTAGATTAGCAATTGTGACTAAGTGGTTGATACAATATCATTGTTTCATATATATATGTATGTATATGCCAATATTATGTGTAATGCTATTATTTTTGTACCAAACAAAACCATTCTTTTATATATACTATAATATTGCATCTAATATTTAGTAAAAATAATAATGGTTATATATGTATATCATCTGAATTTACAAAGGATTATAACAGAAACTATGAGTAATTATTCAATAACGAATTAGGTAACCTGGATGAAATAGACAAATTCCTAGAGACATATAAACTACAAAAGTGACCGAAGAATAAAAAAGTCTGAACAGCCGTATAAAGACGTAAATAGATTTAATCAGTAATCAAAATATTCCCCAAATGAAAAGATCAGACCAGACAGCTTCACTGCTGAATTCTACCCACCATTCAAGGAAGAATTAACAGGAATCCTTTGCAAACTCCTTTATAAAATAGAAGAGGAAGGAACACTACCTAAATAACCCTAGAAGGCCACCACGACCTTGAAAACAAACCCAGAGAAAGACGTCGCAATAAAAGAAAACTACGGACACACCTCTTATGGACACAGATGAAAACATCTTCAGTGAATATTAGGAATAATTTATCCAAAGAGACTCAAGATATGTACACAAAAGACTCTAAAAGATTGGTGAAAGAAATTAAAAACCCTAAATAAATGGAAAGACATCCTTTGTTCATGATTCGGAACTTAATATTGTTAAGATGGCAATACTCCCCAAAATGACCTACAAATTCAGTGCAATACAATCAATATGCAACAACATTTATTATTTTTTGTAGAAATGGAAACACTGATCCTAAAATTCATATGGCATTGCAAGAGGCCCAAGACCCAAAACAATCTTGAAAGTGAAAAACAAATTTGGAGCACTCACACCTTCTGATTTCAAACTTAGTACTATCCTACGGTAATCAACATGCTATGCTGCTGGCGTGAGAATAGACAGATAGGACAACAAAATAGAATTGCGAGTCCAGAGATCAGCCCATATATCTACGGTTAGTTGATTTTCAACAAGGAATGCCAAGACCCCTCAATGGAGAGCAAATAGTCTCTTCCACAAACGATGCTGGGACATCTGGATATCCACAAGCAAAGAAGGGAACTGGACACCTACCTCACACAATACACAATAATTCATTCAAAATGGACCAGAGACCTAAATTTAGGCACTAATATCAGAACAATGAGGATAATATATAGAGACCTCTTACAACTCAGCAACCTAAAGCCAAACAACCAAATTTAAAAATGGGCAAAGGACTTCAGTAAACATTTCACCAAAAAACAGACACTAATATTCAACCATTGCATGAAAAGACGTTAAATGTGGTGAGTCATCAGGAAAATGCAAATCAAGTCCAGAATGACAAATCACCTCACAGACACTAGAAAGTTAGTGATCAAAAAACAATTTGGAGGTAACAAGTGTCTCTGAGGATGAGGAGATTGGAACCCTTGTACTTCACTGGTGGGAACAGAAAGTGGTGCAGCCATCTTGGAAAAATAATTTGGTGGTTCCTCAAATGTTGAACATGGAATTACCACATCACTCAGCAATTCCACTCCTAAGTATGTACCCCAAAGAACTGAAAACTGGTATTCAAACAAAAACTTGTACACCAGTATTCAGAGTAACACTACTCACAGTGGTCAAAAGGTACAGCAACCCAGCTGTCCATCGATGGATGAATGGATAAACAGAGAGGTATATCCTTACATGGGAATATTATTCAACCATAAAAAGGAAAGAAATACTGACACACATTAATACATGGATGAACCTCGAAAACACTATGCTGGGTGAAAGAAGCTAGACTAAAAGGTCACATGTTGTAGGATTCTATGTGCATGAAATGTCCACGATAGGCTAATCCACAGGGACGGAAAACAGATTCGTGGTTGCTGGGGGCTGGGGGAGGGAGGAATGAGGAGCGACTGCTTAGTGGCTGCAGGGTTTACTTCTGGGGCGATGAAGCTATTTCAGAAATAGAGGTGATGGCTGTACAACTCCATGAATGTACCAAATGCCACTGAATTTTACACTTTGGTACAAATGGTGAATTTTATTTTATGTGAATTTAACCTCAATAAAATAAATCATACTTCAATATCAAGTAATATTAAATTAATATTGTCCAAATTTAATAATCTGTTTTCTTTTGAAGCCATTCCTATTTTATCTCAAATTCATTAAATTAAATTAAATTCATCCTCTGCTGATAATTTATATTATGATGAAAATGCCTATTATTTATAGCTTTTCTTCATTTCTTTTAATCTCCTATTTTAATTTGTTTAAGAGAAGAACACTGAGATGCAAGCATGGTCACTGGCTCCAGTGAGGTAGGGGAGGAACGAGGCGGAGGACGGGCAGAGCAGGATCCCGGGGCAGACTCGGGTACTTGCCTGTGCCTGCAGGTGAATTGAAGGTCAACGACCCATTGGACAGGGCCTGGCTCAGCCCTCTCAGGACATCCTCCAGGCCAAAGAGCAGGTTAGCGGCCACACAGTGCTGCTCTGAGCGGGGCAGGGTCTCCAGGTCCCCTGGGGTCTCCAGCAGATGATCCACCGCGTGTATGAGACCCTGGAGGATGGGGACAGAGCCAGTGGGCCATGAGCAGAGGGTCTGCATGAAGACCCTGCCCACTTAGCTCAAAGAACAGACCCTAGAGACTATTTGGGAATAAACGTGGCACCGGATGGGATTCCCTGTGTCTTTTTTCCCAGAATCCAGCCACTCAGAGGTCATCCTGTTGGTGAATGCCAAGGGTGACGTCAACCCAAAGTCCAGGAAAGCAAGAGGGAAGGTGTCAATAGCTGCACGTGGGCGTCTCACAGTGAGTACAGACACACGCTGGGGGCTGTCGCCACACACTCGGGAGGACCGGGGCCTCAGAGCAGGGCACCACCATGGTGGGGTCCGGCTCCTCCCGAACCAAAGCTTTCCCAGGCCTCTATGGGGAAGGGGTGACTCCACCTTGTCTCCTGTGGGTCCTGCCCCTACCTTGAAGGTGTCCTGGGCCGAGGCTGACTGGAAGCGTCTGCGCAGATCCCGGATTCTTTCAAAGAAGTGGGAGAGATGCTGGGGGGAGGGGAGCAGAGGGTGTCAGGAAGCCTCGAGAGTGGGTGAGAAGCTTAGGGAAAACAGGCGGACAGAGCGGGCTGCACAGGGAGATTCCTGCCTCCCGGTCCCTGCTGGAGCCACTCACCTGGCTCTGGATTCCTGGGGGCGGAGTCCAGATGGGGAAGGACACCTCTGCAGGGGACAGACAGGGGTTCATTAGGGCTGAGAGGGTCTCTGTTTGTTAGGGTGGAGTCTGGGGTCGTGTGAGATCAGGTACCTTCGCACACGGTGGTGTTTTGGTTGTCCCGGAGCCCCGGCAGGGGTGTCCACCCTGGGTGGCAGTGGCACCTATATGAGCCCACGGTGTTGACGCAGATGGTGGAGCTGTGACATGGGTGCCGCCCGGAGCTGCACTCGTCGACATCTGGGGACAGGAAGACGGGGTAAGGCCAGGCCACAGCCTGGAGGAGGCCCCTCTCCCCTCCACGCCCCACCCCCTTCTCTCTATTTGCGTCCCCTCACCCCCTGGGCTGGAGGTGATGCCACCAGGTGAGGGCACACCCAAGTGGTGACCAGAGGTCATGGGGAGTGCAGAGGTGACACAACAGGTGAGCCAGACGGATGTGCAGGTTGTGAAATAGTGGGAACCTTCATCCCAGTTAGTAATCAGCTGCTGCCTGGGGTCCCGTGACCCTTCCCCGTGGTACCCCAGCTCCTTCCCCAGGACCCCCAGATCTTTTCCCATTTGGTCTCTAAAGGCTTAGCGCCTGGCCCAGCAGCCGCCCTCAGCCTTCATGCTGCTGGGTCTGCGTGGGAGCCATCGAGTATGTGAGCAGCTGTTCTGAGTGGGGGTCCCCAGGAGTGCAGCCGCCGGGCTCTCGACCTGCACAGATGGTGCTGTCTGGGCCTTCGGGGGACCCAGGAACCGGCTTCCAGCCAGGGTAGCAGTGGCACTTGTAGCCGCCCACGATGTTGAGACAGTGGGTGGAGCTGTGGCAGGGATTGTGCCCCGAGGCACATTCGTTCACATCTCAGGACAAAGCCAGAGGGTCAGGCCCTGCCCTCCACTCACTGCACCCCCCTCACTGCCCCGGCTCTCAAATTCCTTAGCACCTCACATTGAAGACACCCCCACGCCCCGCTTTCCAGCCACCCACCCTGTCGGGACACAACCGTGTGGCAGCGTTTTCCACTAAACACACCAGAAGCCCAGAGGCCCCTGCAGGGTGACAGGGCAGAACCATGTGTGTGCAAGTTTGACCCCGACAGATGGAGTCCCTTCACACATGGTGCGGGATGCACTGTGGGGGAGCTGCGAGGGGCTCCAGCCAGGGAGGCTAAGGCACTATAGCTACACACGTGCCGCGGGTGGGTGGGTGGCGGCACCCCTGCCCTTATTGGACCAGAGCCCAGAGGGCTGGCCCTGCCCCGCCCCATCTCCCCGGGCAGCACTGACGACACCACGTTCCTGAAAAGCCTCGTTATGTCAGCTTCTTCAGGATGCTCTCAGGAGGGACAACATCCCCAGTTTTCAGGAGAAAACTGAGGGAAAGAGGGAAACTAGTCATGGCAGCTGGACTTCCCGATCAGGGCTCTTACCCACTTCCTCCTAGGCCTGGACCCAGATTCTCATTCTCAGAACTGGCACCTCCCTCTGCTCCCAGGTGACACATGTGGAAGGGGCGAGATCTGGGGGTGCTCTCAGGGGCAGGGGGGATCCATAGGGGACCCAGGCTCAGAGGCCCGGCCACCTCCCTGCTCTGTGGGGGACTTTCAGGGAGGCGGGGCCCTGGGCAGGCTCAGCGGGTGTCTTCATAGGGCCTGAGGATCGGCTCCTCCTCGGGCTGCAGGACCCGCCTCGGCTCCTTCCCAGTCCATCCAGCCTCGGTGTCTCCCCGGGGCTCTACCTGTGCACAGATTCGGGTCCTTTGGGTTGAGCTCCAAGCCGGGCGGGCACGTGCAGGTATAGCTGCCCAGGGTGTTGATGCAGACACTGCGGCCTTTACAGATTCTGGGTTTCTGCTGACATTCGTCCACGTCTGCAAGGGGAAGGAGAGGTGACGCGGCCTGTAGCCGTGGGCAGCCCTCGGGGCTGGGAGGCAGCCATATTTCCTGGCAGAGAAGCATCTGGAAGGCCCCACTGTCTGTTCCCGGGTGAGTGGGCACCCTTTCTCATTCACGTGGAGGCCTGTGGGTGGATGTGGTGGCCTGGATGCGCTGATGTCCAGAAGTGGCTGGAGGTGGCCTGAGTCCTCCCTGTCCCCAGCTCTGACTCTCTCAGCCTCCCTGGGCAGCTTCCAGACAGGGTGGGGACAGCAAGGCCACCTGTGTCTGAGGATGTGGTCAATGGCCAGGTGGGCCTCCCTGGGATCGAGAGCAGGGAAATGCTGCGTTCCCCAAGCAGCACCATCCTGGACCCAGTGATGGCCTTTGCTCAGGGCGGGTGCTTCTGGCTGAGCTCTCCTTGGAATCCCCGTGAGCCTGGCAGGACAGTGTTCTCCATCCATGCTCACTCTGAGACTCCAGCTCCGTGGAAATGGACCATGAGCCACCCCTGAGCCAGGCCGCTGCAGAAGGAGGCATTCGGCAGCAGAAGGGAGAGTGGAGATGGTGCTGGACAGTCCAGGGCGACACAGACAGCGGGCGCCAGGCTGGGTGGACAGTGGGGCTGACGGCCGGCCTGGAAGCCTTGGGGCTGTGAAGGTGCCTTTTCCTGATTCCCATGAAGACATCCTCTGGACTGACAGAAGTGGGGAGATTCACATCGGATCAAGGCCAGTGGTGGGCGAGGGCTGGTGGCTGGAAGGGGAGCAGGTGTTGATGGGCGAGGGGTGGCGGAGGTTTCTGTGTTCTCAGTCCTCAGTCTCCCCCAAGAGATGCAGACTGTGGGTCCCGTGGGGTTGTTTCAGCCTCCATCTTCTGGCCCCAAGTGGTCCAGGTTGACATGAGGCCGGGCTTGACCCCTTGGGAGAGGGTCAGCCTGAGGCGATGGTCCATGACAATGTCCTCTCTTGCCATTTGGTCCAGACAGGAGCTCTTCTGTTCACCCGATTCTCTGGGTTTGTGTGGGGGGTTTCCATGTCATGCTGTCCACCTCTGACCCTGCTTCCCCCGGGTCCCAGTCATCCGCGTTGCCCACGGGCCCATGAGCTGAAATTACTGGAGAGGGTCCGGGCAGACCCTTGTTCAGAGAATTAGATAGAGGCAGAGCAGTCGGGTCAGGTGCCAGGAGGCGTCTTCACCAGGTGGGGATGTTGGCCAGGGGCAGCACCAGCCGGGGAATGTGGACCTGCCCTTGAATCTCCCCCCTCTCGTGTTTCTGGATGGGGCGCCTGGGTCCATCATGGCCTGGGGGATCTGAGGGGGCTCCAGGTGTGGCCGAGCCCCTGTGGGCTTCTGGCAGTGACTGAAGAGGATGGATATTGTGCTGGTACCAAGACACTGTGAGCCTGTGAGGTCTCTCAATGCCAACCCTCTTTTTTGTTTCATGAAAATAAGATGCCTGGAGGGCAAGGACCACATTCCAAAATTGCAGAAGTGTCCCTCTGTGGAAGTTTCTGAGCCTTGGGGTTCAAAGAGGGCGAGTGACTAGGTCAGTGCCAGGACGGCCCTCTGTTACCTGGAGAAAGTGGCGCAAATGACCCCAAACCTCATAGACGCGAGGATGGCAGGCGTGGGGTGGTTCTTACCTTGACACGTGTTCTCACTCTCGTTTCTGAACGTTGTTGCCCCAGAAACGAGCCCATATCCTGGGCTACATGTGCAGTAGTGGCTCCCATCCACATTCTGGCAATCCGCGAATTTTCCGCAGGACACCGCCAAGGGTGGTCCACATTCGTTGATGTCTGGAACACAACAGGACAAAGGGTTACCTCCCAAAGGTGAGAGTTCCCAGAGATCAGAGACCCTGGTCCCAGGCTGACCCAGCCACTGGGACAGCACAGAACTCAGCTCCCGGGGGGCACCCCTGGGACACGGCTGGGCTGGAGCCATCTGCTCCAGAAATTCTGCTAATTGTCTGCTCATCTCTGTTCTCTGGCTGGGCCTGAAGGCACCTAGATTCAGAAACTCTGCTGTCCCATGACAAGGGCTGGAAGGAGGTGTGCACCCCTCTCCATAGCTGGAGTGGTGGACGGAGGCACTGACTCAGCTCCGGACCCTCCCCTGGGGTGCTCTCAGCACCATCAGGGACCTGGGAGGACATTCCAGTCAGGGTGACAGTGGCATTGAAGGCCACTCTCGATGCCGAGGAAGGGGATGGAGCCATAGTAGGGGCTGTCCACGGCCACGCTCATCATTCACACCTGGGGATAAAGCCAGGTGGTCAGGAGCCTGCCCAGCGCTGGCTTCCGTTCCCCTTTACTCACAGTGGCCCAAGTGCACCCACACTCCCCATCAGGCACTCCCCCAGCTCCCCAGGTCAGGCCTTTCCAAGATGCCCCAGGATGTCTCCAGGGGACTCTTGCCGTCTCCACCCCTGAGGGAAGTCTCTCCTTATCAGAGCCTGTGGTGGATGTGAAATGAGGAAGCAGCACAAGCCGCTCAGGGCTGAGTCATCGGGGTGTCTTCTGGCATCTTCTCTCTCCTTGTTCTCCCATCATGAGAGGAAAGATGCCCATGAGCCACATCCCCTTTGAGCAGCTCAGGGCCCACAGAGCAGGGGCTGCACAGTATAACTGAAAACAGCATCAGCTTAGTAAGTACCACAGACACAAAAATGAATCAACATGCAGGGCAGGATGGCGGCCCTTGTGCATCCAAGGAGGGGACCAGAGACTTCAGCGCCTGAAAGGACTCACAGCGTCATGGTGAGTCAGGCAGGTGACTGGTCTCCCCCAGATGGGAGCTCTCTTTTCTGCACCTGCAGACTTCCCTTCTAAGGCCCAGACCCAGGCTGTGGGTGTCAGCACCAGCAGAGGACAGGACACAGGAGGGATGCACGCCTGAGGGATTTGTGTTCAGCCCCCACCTGGCAACGGGGCTTCCCTCCTCTGTTCTATGATGGCGACAATGGCTGGACATCTGTTCCCAAGGTTGAGGGGAGAGTGTGAAGCCTAGTGTGGGACCACTGAGAATGAGGTGCAAGGGATGGGGGGAGACACGAGGATGGGACATCTCCACCTGACAGGCGCCCTCCCAGAGAGGAGCCGGGATCCAGTGGCATTAGCAGCAGGGTCTCCTGTCCACGGTCACCCATCTACAAATCTCCGTGAGACACACACGCACACACAGAGGAGCCTTTAGGAACACCACCAGGGTCATGGATGGCTGGGCCATTGTCACAACAACGTCGGCTTTTTCCACCTGACAAAATTTACTTTCTCCCAAATATTAAATAACACACATATACTAGGAAACAAAGAAAATTGTACATAATCCACTCCACAGACTACTGAAACTTTTAAGGGTATTTTCCCTCATTTTTTCAAACATATAGGAAATCTTTTTACCATCATTATCAATAAATACGCATCCAAGACCATTTTGAGTCAATGAGGAGTATTTCCTAATGTAAAAACAGTATAATTTTCTTCTTTTCCCATTTTTAAAAATCATGGTAAAATGCACAACACAAAATTTACCATCTGAACTATTTTTAAATAGAAAAATGTCCTTTTATGACCCTGTATTGTTGGAGAAGGAAAACTGCTTTGTTTTACACCTGGATTTCGATTCCACCACATGATTAGTTGTAGGAACTGGAAAAGTCACTTGATCTCTTTCCACCAAATCTGATCATTTAAACCACAAGCCAAGCTCTGCCTGCCTCACGGGGCTGCTGTGAGCAGGAGGTGGGAGACAGTGGTCGTGAGCTGGGTTCCTGGCGAGCTCTGGCTGGTAGGAGGGCCTGAGCTCCCCGGCCCGGGCTGTGTCTTTCCTCCTGCTGCTTCCATTATCTCTCCCCTTTCTTTGTATTATTAGAATAAGCACAATGATAACATTAGTAGCAATGATGATAGCTGTCATTTGTTGAGAATTCGCTGTGTACTAGTCTTTCCCTGTTCTTCCCACAGAGAAATGTTAAATCTCACACCATCCACCTGGGGCAGGTGCAGTGATTATCCCCAACTCACAGACAGGCGAAATGAGAGCAGACTAATTTCCCGAATGTCAGAGAGCCAGTCAAGGGCAGAGCAGCACTCGGAGCCCTCGGAGCCCAGATGCCCTATGTGAGCTCACGACACCCTCCCTACTGACAATGAAAGCAGGTGCCCACGTCCCTCACACTCCCCCTGCCTGTCTCCTCTCTCATCTCTGACAAAGTGCTTCTGCGCTGCACTCAGGGCCAAGGGCTCTGGATGTCCCAAAGTCTACCCCCACCGTCCCCAAGTGTCCTCACCACCCCAAGACCCTACTGTACCATCACAACTGTCTGCGGGGCTGGTGATGATCTCCCCAGACCAGGAGCTGAATCCTGGACGGCAGCGACAGGTGGTGGCACTGACACATACGGAGTTCCGAGGGCACCAGGGAGCACAGCCTGGAGGGGCAGAGGCTTCGGAGGCAGAGGCTGTGGGACAAGGACCAGGGTCAGAAAGTCCATGGAACGGAGGAAGTCAGCTGCCAGCTAGGGTTCAAAGAGTAGAGGAGAGGAGGGCAGAGTGGGACGACCCCATCAGAAGAAGAAGAGCTCAGAAAACTCTGGACACTTAGTGGGGAAGAAACAGCTTCTCTTGTCCCCAGATGACCACGTCTGAGCCTCACTTGCAGAATAAGGCTCCTTTCCCCACCTTGTGGGTGACAGGACCCAGACCCCAGCATGGACGCCACAGCTTATGTCACTAATGGGACTGGCTGGGCAGACTCACCTCTAAGGTTCTGGGCTGCAAGTCCCAATGACAACAGCAGCAGCACCAAGAATCCTGGGACAGAAAAAACAGAGAAACGACAAAGAGAGGAGAGTTAAGCTCCAATTTCAGCCCCTGGCTGCATGACCATTGCCTCCTGTGGAGGTGGCTCTGGCCTGCAGCGCACGGCTTTCAGGCAGCATCCCCAAGGCTCCTGTAGTTCACTGGAAGCAAGGACTCAGCCCCTCCCTCCATCCCCCAGGACTCCCCGAGGACTCGGTCACTGACAGCCATAGCCACAGACATACCAGCAGAGCACAGAGCCCCGGAATCAGGAGGGGGAGGTGACGACAGGTGAGGAGTGGGAACTAAGGAAGCTGGAGGTAGAGCGACTCTCTCCTGGTGAGTGGACTCTCCAGGGACAGCAACCATGGCTTCCTGGTTCCTTCAGTGAGCTCCTGGCGTCCTCTAGTGCACTGAGGACACAGCCTTCCCCCTTGGCCCCCAGGCCAGTGCTGAGAAATGAGTCACTGAGCAGGCGTTGTGGGGTGAAAGCTGCTATGGGCGCTAAGGAATGAAATCTGTTTTACAGGCCACAACCAGTCTGCCTCACAGGGTCTGTCATCACATCCACATGAGCTGAAAATCTTTTCAGATCTGCGTGCCTTTACGGGATTGTTCTTTTCAGCTAAAAGCAAAGGTCAATTTCTCTTAAGGCTGCACTGCCAGTTCTCACTGTGCTAGGTGGTGGCGGACTCTGGTGGAGGATGGGTTTGGGGATGGACACGCACACAGCTGTATCCCAGACATGCCCCTGGTGGCTGCAAGCCTTCATGAATGCTGCCCATCCTTTGCCCACACTTGCCTCAGTGCAAAGTGGGTGCAATGGTAACTGTGATAGGATGAGCTTTATTCTGACCATAGATTAGTGAAGACTAACAACGGGTTAGTGCAGTGCCTGACACAGAGCAGACAGACAACGTACGTCAGCTAAAGGGAAGGAAAAAGCGAAAGAAGGAAAGAAAGAGCAGCTCCCTCCTGCTCCTCTACTACCTTCCTGTTCCCTGAGACACAGCTGCGTGGGCCAGACTCCAGGGTCAGGCGGAATCACACGCTCAGCTTGGTTCTCTCAGGACTCAGAGTCCTAGACTTCTACTCTGCCCTCCTTGCCCACGAAATGTCCTTTTCTCTTGTGGCTCTGTCCGGTGCTGAGGAGAGCCAGGCTCCAGGGCCAGACTGCCCGAGTCCACACCCAGCCCGGAGCTGCCCCTCGGGAAAGCTGTGCAGGCGACCCATGCCTCAGATGCCCATCAACCGTGCTCCTGTTCCTAGAGTGTGGCACCCAGAGCAGGCGCAAATGATCCTAATGTCCCATGCGTGTGAATAAGGTCATTAGTCTACTGAGATGTTATCCATGCACACCTAAAAATGTGCACATCTGGGAGAAGCTAACTTTGCTCTCCATTTCTTTTAAATGCCCACAGCGTCTTGTACATTGGACCCTCCAGAATATGCACAGATGTTTTCAAAAAAATCATGTTCCAGAGGGCAGATGGTAAGAAATACGGCTATTTTCAGAAAAACCAGGAGACTAATTACAACCAATGAGGACAACATATAGGTAACATCTAACCTACAAGGTGACAGGTTTAATCCTAAACACTGAGGGAAATAGAGACTAATCAGAATTAAGCTGACCTCATAGATATCAGTTTTCACTAATTCACTCGTGTTGTCCTTCCGATCATTCCATGACCCACACAAAACTGATAGACTTAAGGACTTTGTTTTTCTTAGAATATTAGACTTTTCTGAGAGTTTGGTTGTCTACTCTTCTGAAAAACAGTGGCATACGTGGTATGATGTTTAATCTTATGCATCCCTTTGCCTGGGCCGCAGCACCCAGATATTTGATCAAACACCAGTCTAGACGGTGCTGTGAAGGTATTTTTAGATGATAGTAACATTTAGACCAGTAGACGTTGGGCAGGCAGATTACCCTCCACAATCTGAGTGGGCCTCACCGAATCAGTTGAAGAAATTAAGAGAAAAAAGACTGACCCCCTCTGAGGAAGAGGGAATGCTGCTTCCAGACTGGCTTCAGACTTGAGATGCAACATCGAGTCTTCCCTGGGTTTCCAGCCTGCCGGCAGGTTTTGGACTTTCCAACCTCCACAATCTCATGACCCAAGTCCTTAAAGTAAATCTAGAGAGGTAGGTGGACAGACAGACGGACAGAGACAGAGAGAGACACAGAGAGAGAGATACATCCTGTTGGATCTGTTTCTCGGGAGAACCTGAGCTAATATGGGTGGTAAATCCCTTAGTCCCCACCTTTGCCCTCGCAATAAGTTTCACTGACTTTCTCCTTTGAGGACTGAACAGAACTGAGCTAATATCCTTCTTAAAACTTCTTCCCCGCTCTTCCTTACAGATATGGTGGGAAAACGAGCCAGAAATCGGGCAAAGAGCAGAGAACATTCTTAAACTGTATAGACAGTTCCCAGGTAGCTTATTCTTCCTCATCCTTGTTATAATTCTTCCTACCTGGCGGCAACCTTAGAAATCTGTTTCTCATGGTGCAGAGTCCAGCAAGCCCAGCCACGGAGGACGTCAGATCTTGGTCTGTCTTTGAAAAAGTCTTAATGTTTAGTATGACTTCTGTCTTGATGAGCTGATTTAGGAAACCACTGGTCTGGTCTTCCTCCTAATCTGCTCGATGATTAACGTCTCTAAAACTCACAGTTCTATTTTTACATTTTTCACAACATTAGCAGAATTTGCTCTGAAAGCCTGGCTGAGGCTGTTTTTTACCTCTTTTTGATAGAGGAAGATGTGATACTGTGTTTAAAAGGCCTCCCAAATGTGAGGAATCATTCTACTGATCTCTTTGCCCCTACAAGGATCTCAATTCAGAATGAAAAGACATGTCTATTTATTATCTATTAACAGATTTCTTAAAGCTCTTGTTTTGAAATAAATATAGATTCACAGGCAGTTGCAAAAACGATACCAACCTGTCCTGTGTACCCTTCACCCAGTTTCTGTCAAAGCTTACATTTTTATGGGATGATCCTGCAAGGTCTAAACTGAGCACCTGACACTGGGACAATGCATGTGTACAGTTCGGTGTCACTTTATCCCAAGTGCGCATGCCCATAACCGTCCTGCAGTCACGAGGTGTAATATTCCAGCACCACAGAGGTCCCCCTCATTCTGCCCAACATCCCAGACCCCGGCAGGGCTAAAACCAAGTTGTCTCACTCTTCAACAATGTCAAAATGGTCCCCGATCCATGTTTATTGATAAAGGAAAATATTCGTGGTACGTTTTAGAAGAGGACAAAAACACACTCCCCAAATCTTCCAGTAGTCTATGTGGTGGGATTATGGCGATTTTCTTTGCTTTCAGCTTTTACATTTTCTGTGTTTTCCACACGTCCATGTGTGTTAGTCTGCTAGAGCTGCCACAACAAAATAGCGTGGAATAGGTGGCTTCAACAACAGAAATTTATTTTCTCACAGTTCTGGAGGCTGGGTGTCTAAGATGAAGGTGCTGGCAGGGCTGGTTTCTGGTGGGTCTCTCTCCTGGCTTCCAGATGGAGGCCTTCTCGCTTTGTCCTCATGTGGCCTTTCCTCTGTGTGTGGAACAGAGAGAAAGATCTCTGCTGTCTCTTCCACTCCTTTAAAGACGTCAGGCCTGAGCAGCCCTGATGGCCTAGTGGTTAAATTCGGCACTCACCATGTCAGCGGCAGAACCACACCACCCGTCTGTCGGGGGCCATCCTGGGATGGTGGCTCATGTACAGGAACCAGAACAATTGACAACCAGGATATGCAGCTGTGCCTGGGGCTTTCGGGAGGGAAAACAAGGAAGGTTGGCAACAGATGTTAGCTCAGGGCGAATCTTTCCCAGGAAAAAAAAGACATCAATCCTGTGGGACTAGGGCCCCACCCTTATGACCTCATTTCACCTTAATTATTCCTAAAGGACCCTGTCTCCACATATCCTTACACGGGGGTGAGGCTTCAACATATGAACTTTAGGGGTCACAATTTTGTCCATTACATCACATTTACTTAATATTTGGGGCATAAGTAAATTTAATTAAAAAAAAGATGTCTTCATTTCCCCTTCATTCCTGAGGATATTTTTTCTGTATTAGAATTCTAGGATGACAACTCTTTTCTCTCAACACTTGCAGAGTGTGTGCCTTGCTCTGGCCCCCGTGGTTTCTGATGACCAGTCAGCAGTGATTCCAGTTGTTCTGCCTTATAGATCAGGCCTCTTTACTCTCACTGTTTCAGGGTTTGTTCTTTGTCTTTAGTTTCAAAAGTGTCACTGTGCTGTATCTTGGCCTAGATTTGAGTTTATGCAGCTTGGAGTAGCCGCAGCTTCTCGCATCTGTTGCTTGTCTTTTGACAAATTCAGGATATTTTTAGCCTTTTTCCTGAATAACTTTTCACATCCACATTAGTTTTTCATCTCCCTCTGGAATTCAAGTACACAAATATTAGATTTTTGTTATAGTCCCGCAGGGCCCTGAGACTCTGCTCAATTTTTTTTTTTTTTTGTATATTCTGTTTAGTCTTCTTTGGTCTGTCTGGATAATTTAAATTATTCTGTCTTCAAGTTCATTGTTTTATCCCCTCCTTTTGTCTCCATTCTGCTATTGAGCCCATTTGGTAGATTTCTCATTCCAGATATTGGATTTTTCAGGTCTAATATTTCTATTTAGGTCGTCTTTATATCAGATGTTTCTTTGTCAAGGCTTTCTATTTCTTTGCCGAGACTTTCTGGGTTTTCATTTGTTTCAGAGAACTTTGTTTGTGATTGAGCATTGGAACATTTTTTCTGACAGGGGCTTTAAAATACCTGCCAGGTCATTCTACCACTTGTCTCACATTAAACTGAGATTTTTCTGGTTCTTGGGAGGATAATGACTTTTTCATCATACCCTGGATATGTAAGGTATCATGTTTTGAAATTCATAGACTCATAAACTTAAGATATTATGTTTCTAAAGTCTTCAGTTTTGGCTGACTCCTCTGACATCATTGCAGTGGGGAAAGGGCTGCCATCTTGTTTCTGGCCCATGAGGGTGGGATCCAGCTTTCCCGCTTGGGCGCCACTGATGCTCCCACGGGGGAGGGATACCTTGTTACCGCTGGGTGGGGTTGGAGGGTCTTGCTCACAACCGGGCCTCTGCTGACACCACCTGACTGGGCTGTGGAGAAACCTCCTCACATGCCTCCACTGACTCCACAGACGGGGGCTCTTTCCAATGGACGTGATGAGCATCCCAGCTCCTTCTCTGCTGCAGCCCGTGGGGTGAGAGGAACGCTTCGTTACAGACGGCAGGAGTGGAGGGCTGGTCTTCACACCTGACCTCTGCTGCTGAGGGGAAGACACAGTGTTTTCTGTGGTGTTTGGCTGGAGTGGGCAGTTACTGTTGACCTACTCTCTGTTGTGTTGGCTGCCCCTTCTCGCTCTTTTGGCTAAGGGGGAGGAGGGTTCTCTCGGTGGCACTTCTTTTATCTGTACCCATTGGTATTTCCGGGTTGCAACCTCTTCATTCCAAGTCTGGGATGTGTGAGGCAGGAAGAAAACCGACAGAATCAACACTGCGTATTTCCTTGGGTCTCAGAGTCCCTGTGCTGTCTGCCTTTTCTGTGCCTTTCAGAGTCTTCTTATGGTTGTTTTCTGTATAAAATGTTTATATTTACTATAGTTGTAGGTGTGTTTTAACATAAACTTTTTCATACTATCACTTGTTCTCAACTTGTCCTGCAGTCAACAATACTTTTTGGAGAGTTTTTACATGTCGTACATACAGATCTACACCTTTCTTTTTGGCTGCTGTTGCATATATTTATATGACACAATATGAATAAATTATATCTTCCATTCCTTTTTTTGATGTACTTTTCCATGGCCTCATTTCTCATTATCACAATAATTCTGCAATGAATGTCTCAGAAATATCACAGGGGGAACATTTGTAAATTTCCTTGGAAGAAGCATCAAGTGGCTCAGGTACTTGGTTGAAGAGCATGTATATTTTACATTGTAACAAGTTCTGCCAAACTTCTATCTAGTAGGATCTATCAAATTACCCAGGTGCTATAGAAGTGGATCAATTTCCCACATTCATACTTTTTTGAATTTCATTTTTAACATGAAAAAATTTGTTGACCCACGGCTTAAGTGACTTGCATGTTCCAGTCAATCATTTATCTCATTTAGAAGGAAATTAATAAAAGAAGAGAGATTCAGGGACTTTAAAATGTCAAGAAGGTGTGTTCCTTATGTATTTGTGGATGGAGAAAGTCAAAGACTTCAAGAATATAAGCCAGCCTCTCTGAGCATCACAGGTGCCTCCATCCTTAGGATGACGAGGCCAGACCAGGTGAACTGCATGGTACCTTTCAACTCTACAATTCTAAGATTCTGTAAACTTAGCAGTTAACCATTAGGATGCTTAAGGATCACAGATGTATTGGAATCTTGAAATTATAATTATCAAAGGTTTTCATTTTTTCCCAAGTTGAAGGACAAAAATTTATCTTATTATCATTTCAATCTGTGCTTCTCTCATTTACCAGAGTAAATTTCAACGAATTTTTGTGTATTTTTGCATTTTCATGGTTCTCTCTGTGAGTTACCTGCTCATATCTTTGACACACTTTCTATCGTTTTCCTTCATTCTTATTATTTAAGGAGTTAACAATACGTGCGTGTGTGTGTTTATGTGTCGCACGTATCTGTATCTAGATATCTTTTGCTAAATAATGCAAAACTTTTTATTGTACCACATGTCTCCAAACTCTTATTACGGTGTCTTGTGTCACATAAAGTATTCTTCCTGAAAACACTGTCACCTGCTTTATTTCTGGGGAAGAATAAGGGGAGAAGAGAAAATATTCAACTGAATTTGAGCGGCAGGTAAATTGGAAGCAATGGAGTCAACAACTTTAAGTCTCTAAGCTTCCTCTGATCCATCAGAGAATGCTGGAACTTCCTTGTTTGGAAATTCAAAAATCTCCCTGGAGGATGGTTCATTTTCAGTGGGTTAAAAGAATAAAGAACCACAACCCCCAATCACCAATTAGGGTTTCCACACAGAAAATAAGTCCAGGTTACTCCTTTCAAATGTGCATTTTCATATTAAGCTGCAGTTACAAATCCTAGATGTTTTCTCTTGAC